TCCAACCCATTGAATCCACTGATGAATTGGGAGTCAATATATTGGTAAATTCCATTGGTTTAGTGGGACTACTCTTTGAAGCTGTTATTTGTTGTCAATACAACTTTAACTTATGGCAACTCTACGAATAAGACACTTCCACAAAACCTGGTCCTCACAGGCCCTGCTCAGGTCTTGTACGCTCAGGGCTGTGTCCTCCTAGATTGAGTCAATTCATGTGTTTTGCACTCTTTGTCTTTTCCTAGTATTTTCCACTTTACCAAGCATTATTGTCATTGTGAGTCACATCATCTCATGATATCTCCAAAGCATGGAAGCCTCAGTATAGTCATCTTGGCTACTAATGAGAGTTCAGGCCTGATTTGTTCTAGGACCCATTCATTTGTCAATTTAGCACTCCATGGCATCTGTAAAGCGCTTTTCCAGCATCACATTTCAAATAAGTTGATCTTCTGTCCAGCTTTCTTCAGTGGCCAGCTTTCCCATCCATCCATGGAAACTGAAAATACAATATACCCTCAAAACTGTCCCATTTTGGCAGGAACAGTCCCAATTAATCTTCTGTCATCCCACTTTACCAGCTGTTCTTAAAATGTCCCAGTGCCTTTCTCCTCCTCCTCCTTTCTATTTGTCTTCAGATTACTTCAGTTGCAGCAAACTGAGCTCAAAAAACAAAAGTAGTTTGCTCTCAATTAATCCGGTGATGGGAGAGGAAGAAATGAAACCATGTTCTTTTCAGTAGGCTCAGGCAAAAGCAAACTGCTGTAGCCTCTCTTAGCTTCTGTTTCCCCCCTCTGTTCAATTGTTTTTGCCATATGGACTACACTTTGATGTTGGTTGGCCATATGTGTCCCAATTTTCATCTATAAACTGTTGGAGGATATGATATTATGGTATGGAATACTCTAATTTTGCTATTTAATGAAATAATAGGAATGGATAATAGGATTCAGGCATAAGTTTCACTCAAACAGCAAATAAATTTGTTATGTAACTGAGATGGAAAGGAGGTAAGGAATAGAAATTAACCCAGGCTTTATTTTCTAATATGAAAGATAAGCCACCATTAAAAAGGAGGTGGTAAGTAAGGGAATGGAGCCAGCATGGCATAGTAGTTTGAGCATTGGACTACAACTCTGGAGACCAGGGTTCGAGCCCATGCTTGGCCAATAAGACCCTTTGGGTGACCTTGGGCAAGTTATACACTCTTACCTCTCAGAAAACCCAGTGATAGGTTTGTCTTAAGGTCACCATAAGTTGGAAGCTACTTGAAGACACAAAACAACAACAAAGTAAAGGAATTCCCCTCCTTTTATAAAGAAGGTCTTCTTATTCAGAATATCTCTTTTAAACCAACAACCTTTGAAAATCTGATCTTTTGACAGTTATGTAATGAAGTTCTGAAGAGGGAGCTGCAACTTCAACTCCTGAAAGGCCCTCTACATTTAACAGACAAGCAGGAATCACACAGGTAGGGTTCTCCCCATTACTATACCTAAACCCAGAGGAAGGTTGGCCCTGTTGAATTTCTGCCCATCATGCAGAAGTTCAGTCCTCCATCAAGTGAGAAAATGCAGCAGCTTTACCTGCCTGTGCACTGACTGAGTTGTGGTGTAACAAAATAAAAGAGTCTTCATTAGTACTGGCAAAACAACATGGCTGGAAATGTACAGACCTTCATATACAGAAAGTTGCTCCAAGAGGATGTCATGTTTCACAATACAAATGCAGGAACTCTATATTCGGTGAACTCATTTTTTCTTCATCTTTTTAGTGTTATTAAACTGGCAGTGCACTGTAGAATGGGGAGTTTGTAGCAGAGCCTTAGTGAAGACAGAGGCGCTATGTACAATGACAGCATTTTCAGCCTGTGCTATGTTGAAGTGACGTGCCGCATTGTAGATGTCACTTTCTCCTTGTCCCCTACAGCTTTCCTCTTTCTTTTCCTTTTAAATCCTCTTATGATGTGCAGCAGAGGCAAAGGCACAATGTTATTTGAAGAAAAGAGATGCAACGGTTTCATATTATTCTCACACATAGATCTTCAACTAAACCCTCTCTACTGGTTGAGGACCTGCAGATGGGTACACAGGATGGGACCCTCTCTGCTGTAGCACCCATTCTGTAGAAGTCTTTGAAATAAAATATCTGGCTGGTTTCCCACCAACTGGCTTCCAAATGTCATGTTATTTTAGTGCAGGGGTAGGCAACCTTTCCCCTTTAAGGGCCGAGGGACTTCAGCTCCCAGAATCCCAGGAGCTATTGGCCAACATGGGACTATTGGCCAACATGGCTGAGGCTTCTGGGAGTAGAAGTCCCTCGGCCCTTAAAGGGGAAAGGTTGCCTACCCCTGTTTTAGTGTATCATTTGAGTGAGTTTGGTCAAATGGTGACACTGTTTGGTCTCTTTAACAGTATTTCTTTCTGATTTAGTGGCTTCTGAATTGAAGTTTTGCCCATATTGAAAAATAAGCATTGTGCATATTTTGATCTGAAAGGGAAGTGCATAAAAGTACATGGATAGCCTTTATTGATTTGTATTTATTTCTTAAATCATTCATTCATTTTTTTAAAAAGTCCTCAAATAATAACAATAACAATAACAATAGCTATAACAATAATTATTTATTTCTCACCCGCCTCTCCCCAAGGCTCGAGGTAGGATACAACATAGATTAAAACACATAAAACTATTTAAACACATTAAGTTAAAGCACATAAACATTAAGATCATCCAGCATAAAATCAAAATATCCCAATTTAAAATTCATAGTTTAAAATCAACTGGGTGGGCCTGCTAGAAGGGATAAAACTTTAATACTTTAATACAATTAGCTTACACATTGTAAACCACTTAGGGAATAATTAAGTGCACTGATAAGCAGTATATAATGCTATTGCTATTGCTTACTACTATTTTAAATTCAGACAGCATGTTTAACTGTTGAATCTCTCATTCCACAGTTTAGAGGTGGCCAATGAAAATGTCCTCTGGGTGACAGGTACTGGTCTAATTCTGGCCAGTTGAAGTCCCCCAGAGGGCCTGAGTACCTGGACCCAAACCATTTAAGACTTTAAAGGTAATAATCAACACTTTATACTTTACTACACACAATGACAGCATACACAATACACATGAATGTTTCAAATAAAAGCACAAGCAAAATTCAAGAAGTCTACATTGCAACTTACTGTAGAACAGTACTAGTTCAAGGACCAGTTCCACCTCCTACTCTTTGTCAATATTGCTTCTGCCTATTTGCTTATCTCTTCTTCTGGGACTGATCCACACTATCTCCTTGTGGGAGAAGAGAAGCCATATGACTATATTGCTCTTTTAATTTCTCCCTCCTATTGTTTGCTCACACTGAAAAAGCAAGAGAACAGGAAGTGACATTAAATAAGAGGAGACAAGCTATGACTTTCCAAAAATTGGCAGTGGGCTTCCTACTTGGATCTGAGCTTTGACTGGTGATTAGGACTGGCTTAAAACATTTTGATGCCTGAAGCAAAGGACCAATGATGACTGGTGACTCCCATGTTGGTGGGGCTATGAATCTCATTTGGATTGTAGCCCAAATTTTAAACAGTGCTGAACCTGTTACTGCACCCTGAACAACTTGAAAGTTCAGCCTACTGGCATGGAGCCACCTGCTGTTCCTTGAAAGAACTAGATCAGGGGTAGGCAACCTTTCCCCTTTAAGGGCCGAGGGACTTCAGCTCCCAGAATCCCAGGAGCTATTGGCCAACATGGGACTATTGGCCAACATGGCTGAGGCTTCTGGGAGCTGAAGTCCCTCGGCCCTTAAAGGGGAAAGGTTGCCTACCCCTGAACTAGATGGTGCCCTCTCCCATTCAATGTATGAAAGTCAACTGGAATGAAATATGACTTTTTCTTTCAGCAGTAAGGTGCTACAGCATCTTCCATTGCACCTAAAGGTGGCAGGCTAGCTTAGTTGTGGGGCACAGAGAAGGCTGCATGGTTCATTTCTGTCTCCCCTAAGACCTTGCTACTGCCACCCCAACATCTGCCACCTGAGAACTCAGCCTCTCTCTGCCTAATGGTAGGAATGGCATTGCAGATGCCCAAAAATCATACTATTGACATTGGCCATGCAAACCATAGAGCTAATAAGATCTTCCCAATTCTTTGTAGTAACAAGGAGGCAGCAGCAATAACAATGACAAGATCAAGTCTCAAAACAACATCAGAGCAAGACGTTTATCATGTCCCAAGTGGGACATAAGAAATGGTGGACAGTTTTTGTCTAGTGTCTAGTGACAAAGTGTACAAGAGTGTCCTGATTCATAAATAGTCCTTCTCCAGCCACCTTCATGTGTTTTATTTCATTATTATTATTATTATTATTATTATTATTATTATTATTTTGAGATGCAGCCAGAACTGGGACGAGAATGGCTTCAAGGTTAATCCCTCACTGAATCCTCTTTCTCTCCCTTGCTTTCTTGATTAGAACCAGTCGGAGGCTTCTGCAAAGAAATGAATGATAAACTCCAGAGCCTTCTTATGGCTGGAGCCCACTAAATGGTTCTCTTCATTTACAGCAGTTTGGCTCTTGATTTATTTACCCATCTATCATGCTGTATAACAAGGCAGTAAATCTGTGGCTGCTATGTGTGCACATATAATCTAACCCAGTAGAATATTAGCCAGTAATGCCAGCCCAGCAATACACAGAGATTGGGTGCTTGCCCTTCAACTGTCCTGTCCCTGGGCACATATTCAAGGTCACTTGATGGAGGATGCTATTATCCTTAACAGATTATTGTATAATTGTTTTGAATGCAAAACTGGGATGGTTAAAAATTGGCAAAAAAATAGATTCACCCCTACTTTATCAGTGTACCTTAGCAAGAGATTTAAATATGCCTGTTGACTACAGGCTGACACAGGAACCTGTCTTATATTGCTCCAGTCAGGCTGATAGATTATATTGCCCAGTATAATCTGACTGGCAGTCAGTGGTAGCCAATAGGGGTCACTGCTGCTGTTGTGTGCCTTCAAGTCATTTCTGACTTATGGCACCTCTAAGGTGAACACCCATTCATGGGGTTTTTCCTGGCAAGATTTGCTCAGAGAGGGTTTAGCATGGCCTTCTTCTGAGACTGAGAAAATGTAACATTCCCAAGGCTACCCACTGGGTTTCCAGGGCTGAGTGGGATTCAAATACTGGTTGCCATATCGAAAAGGGTATGGATCTGCCAGAATAAAGGATATGAGGGAATGAGGAAAACTGAGGTGTTGATATATTGATATAGAGAAGTAGAGATGAATTGGAAGGGAACTATGATCCGAACGATACGCAATTGGGAGAACAGATGGGCTATAGAAAGGTTGTTTATTATCGTGTTTACTTCCTAAGACCAACCTTTGATGTCCAGTGAAGTAATACCTTCCCTTCCTGGGGCAGATGTAGGAGATAGAAGAGGGTGAGGGAAGTGGACACTTGAAATAATCTTTTGCTGTATCCCAAGTCTCTTGCATCATAAGTCATGAAAGGGGAGGACTGGAAGCGAAAGGGTTTTAAGGGGTGTATTGTTCTGGGAAAACTTAGGGCTAATGCAGAACGGCTTAAAGGGCAGGTCTGGGGGTGGAGTTGGGGCAGGGCAACTGCATGCCAGTTGCCCCGACTTCTCTCTGACTCCACTCAGTGCTGTGTGCCTGTCCTCACAGTGCACAACATTAGGGCACCCTTTTGACGCACAGGCAGACACGCTGTGCCAAAAGGGCGCAAAAGAGCTGCCGTGGTGGCTCAAAGGGCAGCTTTTTGCCACCCCTAAAAGGAACAGCATTTGCCCGCTCTTTTGGGGGTGGCAAAAAGGAGAATCGGGGCCATGGTGTGTGGTTG